TTTCCCAGGAAACGCCCAAATGCAAATTGAAAATATTTACAAATACTTTTCTAATTAAACGGTAATATGACTGGATCGGTTGGAACATATAAGTTTCGTATTTAAGCCCATTGCCTTGAATTGGGCGCTTCCAATACACTTTCCGAAATTCTTGCCAACGGTCACGCGTCGCCTGCATAAAGGCAGCCAAAAAGCGCACGCCCATAAATTCAACAAGTTTATTTATTTATCACTCACATGCGGCCGCTATAAATACAATCGCGCCTGATTTCTCTAAAGTGTCTGTATTTGGAAAATTTTGCCAACAGAAAAAAAAAACAAACAAAACATGTAAGAGTACTGTAGCCCGACTAGAAGATACCAAGAATCCTGTGTCGAGTTGTTTCCTCAATCATTCGACATTAAATATGCCAAGTCTGAGGGCTTCTATTCAAAAATAGTCATATTTATAGTGAGGGTATTTATTATGGAAAGATGTTTAGTAAACTTGGTTCTATGGTTTTTGAATTATGAAGGAGAAACAAAAATTAAAGAAAGACAAACGACAGACAACCTAAAAAGGTTTAGCAAGCATGCTTCTACCTGTGACATAAATTCGCACAAAAACTATAATACCCTAAAATGGCAATTCCAATAGTTTTAGGGTATCGAAAAAGAGAAATACAAACATTTTCGGACAAACACGGGCCAGCAACTGCATGTTGTAAATGTAAAGCCTGCGAAACAAAAAAGAAAAACTGCATGGCTATAATTAAGCGTGAGCTAACGGCCAGCAGAATGCACTGAAATCTTAAACCGGCGAACCAAAATTGGCCAGACCCAGCGAATACGTATGTAAAAGCACTTTGATTTATCTGGCAATTAATATGTGAATACCAAATTGTAGCTGCTAATTTGCTAATTTGTTAATTTGTTGCTTGCGAGCTGTGCCGAGTGGTGCCGAGCTGTGCTCTGCGCATGCGGAGCCCCGTCCATTATATGCTGTGGTCGCATATTGCGTATACGGCAAGTTGTCGCTCTTGACGCTTTAAACTTCGCACCAAATGTGTGGCAGGCGGGCGGCGTTTGCAATTAAGTCATTAAATACAGCACTAATTGAACACACAACAACAACCATACACACGAACACACAAGCCGTGTAATTAAGCGAACATTGCGCATACGCCGCATTGTTCGGGCGACACACACGTGTTTCAATTGCTTGTCACTTGGTCCGAACGGTCCAGCCAACCAATTAGCCAGTGCTAAAATATGTATATGGCTTACGACAAATATATATGTATACACACATATTTGTGGTGCTAACTATTATCGAATGCTGGCCTAATGCGAAGCTGCGACCGCGACCACAACGGCCTTCATGCCGCTCGAGGGGACAGACTGAACGGCGTCGACGCGTCGCCGCGCTACCTCGCGCAGACAGAGTGTCGGCCAAAAATGTAGGCATAAATTATACCATTCGCCACAATATAAAGTAATCGACTGACACACAATTCTTCTTGCCCATTTCCAGCACTGGCCGACTGAAACAGGTTTTCGTGTTGCCCTCCGACGACTCTGATGAGTGTAGAGTGTTCTTTTTAGTCGTTTTATGCGCTTTCTTCTTCAGCTTTGACTTTTTTGTTTTAAGTCTTTTCCGATACGGTCAATTAGTCAGAGGCCAGGAACCACTTTGAGCCAATAATAAATTATATGAATTATCTATGTATTAAGTGGATATATGAAAATGGGACAGGCATCCACCGCTATCAAGAACCCGCTGATAAAAGCAGAACGCACGCACTGCATATTTGAATATATTTATGAGGTTGCTTTAGAAAAACAAGTTAATAAGCAGCTACCCAAACAGCGGAGACACAAACACAGATCGACCGAATGGCTCTTTAATTAAATACATAAAGAGCCATAGATTTGCATTGCTAATCGCATACGGCCATTTAAGCATTGTATCAAATTTATGATAAGCCTCACACCAACTATCAAATCTGCTCGTGGATTTCGTCTGTATTTAGCCGACGCGAATTCAATAGAAATTCCTTAACGTAGAGAGTTCTGCGAAAGCCAACCTGCAGCAGACCCTCTGATAACCCTGATTGTTTGTCAACTGTATACAGATAATCAGTGCTGACTGATTGCAAATATTTTTATCAAGCTATATTGATTTAAGCAGGGCACATACATACATATATGGCGCATACGCCATGTATGTAAATATTTTAATCGAACACATTACAGCGCTGAAAAAATCTTCTAATGATGCAGTTGCCGAACTGCAGCAGCATCCGCCAGTTGATCTGCGGTCAGTGTAATAAGTGAAATATATATAAATAAATTTCATATATTTATATTTAGTTAACAAAAAGTATATTTCGAAGTACTATAGCGCACGAAAATTGGGGAATTACTCAACACTAAAGACGGTAGTGTTAACAAACAAGCCAAAACTATTTTAACCAATTTGAGTTCCTTTGCCTTTGTGAATAAGTTCCTTGGAACTCTAATGAAAACAGAAAAAAACTCTATTTTTGATTGAAAAATAATTTAATACATAAACAATATTGTGAAAATTTACGCTGAGGGCAAGTCTGTATTTGTTAGCAATATATATATAAATATATATATATATATATATATATATATATATATATATATATAAAGAAAAACCAACTGGGCAAGAGCCTCGGGCTTCTAGCAGTAATCACAATCCGGTTCACATGTGGCCCAGTTAGTGTGCAATAGTAAATACGGCAGCCAGGTAATTTTCTTGCGCAATGGGGCAGGAGTGACACTTACAGAGAGTGCCTAGCTCGGCCAGGTCCAGTGTCCTGCAACGCTCGCCACGTATACATATATATATATATATACAAACATATTTTTGGTTACGATTAATGATCTTTCGATTTGAAATCGCATTACATTGTATGTTTGTCATCGAAAAAAATGTATTTAAAACAAAACATTGCCTACGCCAAGCCAGGGTTCGAACCCGCATTTCCGCAACCACATACACCGGCTCTACCACCACCGCCACTGCACTGTCTGTTTTTAAAGTTTCAAATCCAATACCAAAGTAGCAGCCGGCAATTCAATCGCAAATGTAATCCTATTAATAGAATTCGAAGAAGATGCATGCATCTATGTGTGTGTGCACATGCATCGAGAAAATTCGAACACTTGACGTGATCGCCACGTGCTTTTGTCAATTGGCACACGTTGCCTTAATAACTTCTGTGTTACTTAACGGATCTCAATGAAATATTCAGCATATGATCTAAATAGTCTATTAAACACTTTTACATATGGGCAATAATTGTGAAATTTGGTTAACAGACAGGTCTAGATCGACTCTTCTGTTGATGTTAATCAAGAATATACTTACTTTATGGGTTCAGCCCCGCCTTCTTCTGCCTGGTATATACATATTGACAAATTTATATACTTTGTATTCCAACTTTCGATGGGTTTTGGGTATAAAAAATCGCACATTTATCTAGTATTTGGTTTTCGCAAATGTGCGCTCGTTAAGTCAAAAGCTGTGCCAATTTAATGGCTCATCATTTTGAACTATTTCCAATAATAGTGAACATATAAGGTCAATGGCGATACGAGCGTTGACTTGAGTCGAGTGGAATTGATTTGGGTTGTCATCAAGCTGAAGGTTTTTTGTTTCCATAATCGTTAAATGTGGCGGAACGCAACGGAAGTCCGTGGACACGTGGTACGCCTTGGCATCCAGTTTTGGAAGCACCCGAAAAGAAAAAGAAATGAGAGACACGTTCGCTACGTCCATTTGTTGGCAAAATAAAATAACAAATGCGTCGCCGGTTCACAGAGTTCACCGAGCTGCCGTCAAATTATGTAAAATGCGACATTATTGAGCCAAAAATGATTTGGCAACTAATTTCGTGCATATTTTCGGCGAATTTCAATTAAATTTTCGACACCACATTTAAAAGCCACATTGATCACGATACGCTAAATGCACAAATTTCACAAATTCGCGGCGTCCGAGAGGTGCACAACAACAGCCACCAATACAAATTAAAGGCATCGTAGGTATAGCTATAAGAGAGCTACTTGGCTCTGGCTGCGTTTCATTTCAGTTCCATCTCCTCTTTTGTGTTTTGTTTTGTACTTTGCCTCTGGCACACTCACAGACTATGACACACCGGGGCAGACTGTAATTTATTATTTTATTAGTTGACTGCAGCCAGCGCAAGAGAATCAAAGAGCACGTTATCACTTGGGCTGCGAAAGTATTACTGAGTGCCAGACGCTTGAATGCCATTTTTAAAACTAACACCCTGAGTACACGACAACAACACAATAAAAAATATATGTTCTGGCCAGGTTTCTGGACACAGTCTTATGTTTGTAATTATCGAAACGCTTCAATCGATAATCGGTCCATCCATGGAATAGCGATAATTTGCTATATTTAAATTGCACTTTAATTGGGCGCCAAAATGTGCAAATATTTCAAACTGGTTTATTAATTGACTGAAAGGGGAAAGTCAAAGAGCCCTTAAGGCCGTGTAAAGAGTCAGTCTCTAGCTTTTCTATGACGAGCAAACGAGCAGACAGAGTTAGGTAGATTCATCTAATGATGCTTATACATTTAACAAGGATAAATTGTATTTATCTATGCAAATTCTTTGCTTGGTATGCAACCAGCTGATGATATAGAACAGCTGGCCGGTTGATCGATACACAATAAGCATTTCCAAGTGTTTATCACTCAAATCAATACGTTCAACCCCCAATCTCTCGCTCTTAATGATAATGTTTACTTATTTGCGGGCGAGTGGAACGTGCCCAAGTCGGCTAGCTTTGCCGGTGGCTGCAATCGGCCGTCAAGATGTGAGAGAATGCCACAAACTTTCAACTTTCGAGCGTATCGTGTGCTCGACGAACGATACAGCATTTAGATCTTGGCATAGCTATAGCGACACCTCGACTATGACTTTCTTCTCAACTGTCTGTGTTTGCAACTCTTGCAGCTTGTGCTGAAGAAGACCTGCGAATGGTGGTTCTACAAGCATAAAAATATCCGCAACATGTCTACACACTGGCGCCAGCACACTCTCATATGGTTCAGCGTGGTAGCGCTGAGCCTGTTCGGCGTGTTAATCTTCTTCTTTTGCGGCACGCAGAGCGATAGCAGTCCCGCACGCTTATACGAGGTAGACGAGCACTTTCTAAACGATACGATTATTATCAACAAGAGCGATGAACGCGATATTGAAAACGGCGACAAATTCGACAACATACAGTACATGGACGACGACAATCTGAGCGGCTTTGTGACGCCCCAAAAGATACACAACATTAGTCTCAATGCCGAGGACATGCTATACGAATCGAAGCGACAGAGCAGCAGCGGCGGCAACAGCAGCCTGAGGGGTAAGTGGTTGGCCAATAACAGTTGGACAAATGAGGATGGCAATGTATCATTGCAGACACGACTTCTGCGTTCAGCATGACGGGCACGTTCCGCAGCGAGTCCAGCCAGATTTGGGATCCGCATCCGGAATACTTGTTGCACGTATTTGGTAAGGTGCTACATCTCATGCTGCATCAGGACACCTCATTCATACCATCGAACACATTTCGAGTGATACGCATACTCAACAATCGCACCGAGGAATCGAATCATGACCAGGAGGAGGAGAGCGGACACTTTCTGGGCTGCTATTATAAAGGCTACATTGACGGCGATAATCAATCTGCAGTTGCCGTCTCTCTCTGCGGTGGCATGGTAAGTCAATGACAGCAAAAACATGAACATTAACGTCGACAGGTGGCAGCTGGTTGAGATCAGCTGGGGCTGAGACCTTCAGAAAGCCATTTGCATTAAATTACCATTTCGCAAATTATACTTATCAATATATCGCCGAATATGACTACTAATTAGCTTATATCCAACTCCTGTCCTGCCCCTATTCCACAGACCGGTTATATAAAAACCAGTTTCGGCACAATGCTCATTCAGCCGGTCAACCAGACGGACGGCGACCAGATTTTGCATCGGGTCTGGCGGAATTCGCAGCGCAGTCCTAGACACGCTGTCTCCGATTTTGATCTAGAGCTCGAGGCGCTCGACATGGCGGCTAGTATGCGACCACGTCTCACGCGACAGAAGCGCCACTTTCCGAATCTGGACAATCAAGTCTACACGCTTGAGGTGCTCATTGCCGTTGACAACACCATGGTCGAGTTCCACGGCGGAGACCTTAAGTCCTATATTCTCACGCTATTCTCGATCGTATCGAATATCTTTGCGGATGCCAGCATTGGTTACTCCATAAAGCTGTCACTGCTCAATCTGCTGGAGTTCTCCTCGGAGGCGCGCAACGGGCCTGATCGTGCCAGCTCCACCAACGAGAAACTCAATAGCTTCTGTTCAGATCTAACCAGAAGGGGCTATCACTACGACACCAGCATACTTATCACGCGGTAATTGAAGGCTCTGCGCGTTCTGTCACGCCCAGCTAATGGACCTCCCCTTTTTCATTTGCAGCGATAAGATTTGCAGCAATGAGCGTGACGAGCGCTGCAGGACCCTGGGCCTGGCCGAGCTGGGCACTCTGTGTAAGGCTCGCTCCTGCTCCATTGTTCAGGATAACGGCCTGGCTGCCGCCTTTACGATTGCCCACGAACTGGGCCACATGTGAGTCCGATTGTGATTGCTGGCATAAGCCCGAGGCTCTAGCCCAGTTTTTGTTTCTTTAGCTTTAATATGCCACACGATGATGACGACCGTTGCAAGCCATACAATATGAAGTCGGGCACACTGCACATCATGTCCAGCGTCATGGGCGATAACATGTATCCGTGGTCATGGTCCAAGTGCTCGCAGCACTATGTCTCCGAATTTCTCGAGTAAGTCCTTATGCAGTACAGAAATAAGAGAATTTGCGACTTGACTTGATTTCTGTTTAGAAAAATGGACAAGTCCTGCCTGGAGAACACGCCATCCAAGTCCATGAAAGAAGAGAGCACGAAGCAGCCTGGTGAGATTTATTCGCTGGACCATCAGTGTCGTCTGATACATGGCAACCAGAGTACCCATTGCTTCTCGGAGGTGGAGTGCAAGAAGCTTTTCTGCAACGCCAATACGCATCCCAATGGACTCTGCCGTTCCAGCAACTTGCCCTGGGCAGATGGCACGCCCTGTAACAGCAATAGCAACAACAGGTTTTGGTGTCAGAAAGGTAAGTGTGTGCCACGTTCGGGCAGTGCTCTACACATGGTGCACGGCGGTTGGGGTCCTTGGGACGCCTTTACGCCCTGTAGCTTGACGTGCGGCGGCGGTGTACAGCACTCACGCCGTGAGTGCAACAATCCACAGCCCGAAAACGGTGGCAAGTATTGTGTGGGCAGCCGCAAGAAGTATCGCTCCTGCAACACGCACAGCTGTCCCCCAGGCACCGTCGAGCCTCGCGAGCAGCAGTGCTACGATATGTACGGCAAAAAGAAGATACCGGGCGTCAGTCCATCCTCCAAATGGATACCGAAATATGGACGTAAGTGTATTCGAATGTCAATCGAGTCATGCAACTAACCAGCTCATGTCACAGTGAACACCCACGAGTTGGACAAGTGCAAATTGTATTGTCGCATAGAAGATAACACCGCCTACTTTCTGCTGAAGGATGTAGTCACAGATGGCACCAACTGCAACGTGGACAGCTTTGACAAGTGCGTCAATGGCATCTGCCGGCCGGCTGGCTGCGACAATGAACTCAACTCCATTGCCAAGCTAGGTAATTAGTCGCAGTCGCAATTAAAGCCAAAAATCTTCAGTCATCAATTTGATTTCTTTGCAGACAAATGCGGCGTCTGCGAGGGACGCAACGATACGTGCGAGGAATACACCGGAAACGTGAAAGTCTCAGATTTGCTGAAGCAAAAGAAGCTCTCACAGAGCCTCTTCTACGTCGCCACAATACCAAAAGGTGTGTACATCCTAAAGTTCTAACTTCTATCCGCCAACAAGCTCTCGCGCAACACGCCCCGTTGTCAAGCGGCCAAAACTAACAAAAAAGGCTAAATATATAACGAGTTGCAAGTTGCGCGACTAGCAGATACCCAGCGCTTCAGTTTCAAGCACACATGTGTACCTAGCCATATAATGGATAGAAGCTTAACCTTATTAAAAATAGTTTCATTACTTGTCAATACTGCGAGGCAATGCTTTGACTTAGACGCAGTCTTGACGGAAACCGATAGATTCGATTCCACAGTTTGTTTTCATAATATATATTAAATATTTGCTCGTTAATAACTACAAATTATATATAAATCTTGGGGGAAAAAAGATCTTAGATCCTCCGAGCCCGACACAGTTATGCATACGGGCAAACAGGTGAACGTAGCTAAATCGATTTATCGATCATGATCAAAATCGGATATGCCTGCTGCTGCTTGTTACGTACATTTGCACAAAACCAACATAGCCTCAGCTCTCATTTGCAATGGGTAAAAGGTATAAAAAAAAAAGTAGAAAAATTCAATAATAAAATTTTTGGCTAATGATTTGATGAATGAATGCTAATGGCAAGTGCTTATGCGTTGCGCGACTTAATGTGCTATTAAATAGTTTTTATTAATTCAAGTTTGATGCCCAGTTGAGTCATTGAAAGCCCCGCCCTTAGCCAAAAACAAGCTAACATTTACATACTCATGCATACATACATACATATATGTCTGTACGTACTTATGTATGCATGTTTTTTTTTTGTACTCACCTTGTTAGCTGGAACACGTAACTCGTGTTGCTCGCTGCTCCCGGCTGATCAGCTGTTGATCTTCCCAGTGCACCTAGGCGCCTCACGTACACACAGATTGCTGGTTAATCAACAGACGGGGCATTGGCGCCGGTTCAAGCCGGAGGTCGCCAGTAGTTGTCTATAAAAATTGATTTGAATTGCAAAGTGCTTATCAGAAAGCGCAAAAAAAAAGAAATGGCGTACATACATACCTTAGACATATTAACACACACACACACACACATAGGCAGGCACATGGTTTCGTTGCACTACTTCAGTGAATCAATAATAGCTATTATTAGCACAAAACATTCGTTTACAAAATTTACTGCCCTATGCATGAGTACAATGGCATTAAAAAATCATGAATGAAACAACTGAGGCAAGGAAATATTAATTTATGTCCAACATCCGCTTTGCTTTTTTGCTAATGGCCGCACGTAGCCTATGATGACTTATCGGTAATTGACTATTTATCGAGCTCACTTTCCAATGTAAAGCTGACACTTCCTCTGTTAACATTTTCTGTTAACTAACATTTGGACTAGTTGATCTGCCTAAGAATGCACTTTTTCTAATTCCCAGGGCTGCATTAACTGCAATAGTAACTGCATATGTTTCATTCTCTCGCTATACCTCTTTCACTCTAACTGACTTTAATGCGGCAAAAGCTAGATATTTCAAATTGGATGTGTATATTCTAGTATTTCCCATATTTCGGATTTTCCCTTGCAAAGAAGCGTAGAGTTATGGGAATAGCAACTCTGCACAGAGTTCAGGTTATCTCCCATTAAGGCACTGTCGACTAGGTTACTCTTATTTGATATTTTATTGAAATATTTCTTATTTATTTTTGCAGGTGCCTCGAATATTGTTATCACGCAACCCGGTTATCCCGATCAGAACTACATTGTTCTAAGCAACGACAACCATGATAACCTGCTGAATAACGACAAAGTAGTAACGCCTTATCCCAAGAAGACTACCTATGCAGGCGTTACACTCGACTACAATGGTTCCAACAGCACGGTGGAGCGCGTTAACTCCACCTACTCATGGAAGCTGACGCGAGATCTGATAGTTAAGGTCGGTTTAGCCGCATTACGTCTTAAGTTCCTTGGCTAATTATGTCCTCTGTTTAGGTCATTTCGATTGATCTGAGTGCTGCCAAGGATCAGAATACGGTACTTATTTCGTACACCTACACTTTGGACAAGCCGTTCATTGCGGAAGCTGAGGTGGAGATCTATCGCTGGCAAATGCCCGCTTGGAGCAGTTGCGACTCTCTCTGCCAAGGCACAATGCATCGCCAGGCCACCTGCATAAGCACCACGCAAGGTCTAAAGGTAGCTTCCCAGTTCTGCGAGGAGTCGGCTAAGCCAAAGGCGGAGTCACGCAGCTGCAACACGGATTGCATCCTAACGTGAGTTGGCACTTTAATTGCCTCTGCTCCAGCTCTGATAGTTAACTCAATTCACATTTAGATTGAACACGACGAGCATATCGGAGTGCTCCGCGGCCTGTGGAGAGCTGGGCGTGCGCGAGAAGAACTTCAACTGCATACAGACATTCCCGGATATTCAGCGTACGAATATCGTGGACATGTCCTTCTGTCAAGCCAAGTTCGAGATTGTGCGCCACGAGGAGTGCCGCGAGGGTTGCTGGAACTACACGGAGTGGTCAACGGTAAGTACCCAATGCAGATCTCACGGCATACGAAATGATACATGTCCTCTGTATTGTGTAGTGCACCCAGACCTGTGGCACGGGCACCCAAGTGCGCGAGGTGCGCTGCTATTTGAACCATACGCCCGTCAGCGACGAGCTGTGCAATCCGCGAACCAAATACGCACTGAACAACCTGCTGCGCACGTGCAACATGGAGCCCTGTCGCTTTTATCCAGATCAGATGGTGAGATATGAGCCAGCAAAATGAAAGTCAAATATATCTTAAAATCGAATTCTGTAGATAAACCAACGCTCTGTGATCGCCTGGGTGACGGGCGAGTGGGGCGAGTGCAGCGACTGGTGCAAAATGAATCGCACGGTGACCTGCTCGAACAGTTATGGCGGCTACTGTCCAAAGGATAGGATGCCCAAGGCGGCGCGCAACTGTTGCCACATCAAATACGTTAGCGAATGGGAGAAGGTAAGAAGGAGGCACAGCAGACGAGGCTTAGATAAAATGCTAAAATTTTCTTTTTCTAGTGCTCTGTGGAATGTGGCTCGGGCATAAAGCGCAGGCTGCAGAAATGTGCCCGCGTCTACAAGTCAGAAGTGCGTGGCACGCCCAAGCGTCGGGAATATGTGGCCGACTCTTTCTGCAAGTCGTTAAACGTGCGGAAGCCATCGCTGCGCAAGTCCAGCAAGAAGTGCTACATCAACTGCAAATGGGATGTGTCCGACTGGACGCGCTGCTCCAAGGACTGCACGGAGGAGTATCAGACGAGATATGTGCACTGCGAGGCGTGGCCCGGCAACACGGTGGACGACAGGCATTGCGATGCCAAAAAGCGACCGCCCCACAGGAAAATATGCACCAACTGCGCCCGAATGCGCACCAAGGTGACAAGAGCGGTAAGCGCATCGATTACTTCCTTGATTCAAATTTTAATATCTGAATTTGGTTTATTTCCAGTGCGATTGCACGGGCTACGAGCAGCGACGCAACTACTACTATGACTCGAAAATGCGTAAGACCAGCAGGCTGACGAAGGTCAAGTGCACGCCGCCGCCCAGCTGCCGGAGACGAAGCATCAGCGGCAACAACCAGTCGAAGACTGTGCAGGTGCGACGCGCACAGAGCTGCGCCGATGTGCAGCAAATGTATGGCATCTACAAGGATGGCGAATACACGCTGCAGGTGGGCTCACGGCAGGTGCGCATCTACTGCCATCAAATGACCAGTCGGACGCCGCGAGAGTATATTACAGTGAAGCCGCAGGAGAACTATTCCATCTACTATGAGTACAAGACGCGACTGATCGACAGCTGTCCGCCAACGTCGAGGAGCCACGAGTATGTGAACGATCAGAACTCCGGACGAACGCACTTTGCCAAGCTGCGTCTGAACATCAGCGACCTGAGGATTATCGAGAACGATTTCGAGTTTTCCGAGTCGCGGGGTCAGCGCCAAGCGCTGGGATCAGCTGGCGACTGCTACAATCGCAACATGAACTGCCCGCAAGGCGACTTTTCTATCAGTGTGGAGCATACGGGTTTTTCCCTGCGTCCGGGCACCGTGTGGAACACGTACGGCAGTCATGCGATCATGCATCGAGCCAGCGGGGTAAGTTACCATAGAATCCGAACCAGAGTCAGAACGAACCACTGCAGCCACTTACTTAACTTCTGCTTCATTCGCAGTTCAACACAACTTCGGCGTCACGACGTGCTTTTTGTGGTGGCTTTTGCGGGCGCTGTCACATATCGCCCGCGTCCGGACTCTATGTGGACATTCTGTGATCATGCGCCCACAGCAATTGCAGATAGAGCATATAGCTTGGACACCTTATGCAAAAAACTTGCGCAGAAGAATGCCTAGCGAGACTTCCCACGGCAACTTCACTTCTGCTTCGGTCCCTCAGCCGCACGTCTCGCAGAGCCCAAGAGCTATAGACTTAGTGCCACAGAGCGAGATGGCAGACCTAAGCATCGCTTCCAGTGTGTTGCTCTCAGTGCGATCATTGATAATGTGTCAAAGATCGGTAAGGCATATACGAAATGAATTGCTGTTAAGAGTCGGTCAAAGTTCATTTTGTCGCGTTGTATTCTCCTATTTTTTATTGTTGGTCAGGAGACCTAAGTCATGGGGCGTTTACACATAACAGGCCTCGAGTCTTGGGTGTTATAACCAGCGGTAAGACCAGGGGAAGAGAGAGAGAGTGAGTGAGAGAGCGTGAGCGAGGCAAGGACTGAAGCGAAATTGAAGTTAGTTCATCAGAAGTGTCCCTAAAACATTCTTGTGCATAAATTCTTTGTATAAGGTGCCCAGCCTCTATGCTCTATGATTGGTGCTGTAGCCCAAGTCGTTGGGCCTAATGAATCTTTGGTGCTTATTTTATGCGAATCGATTTTAAGGTCGCTCGACTCTAGTGCATTTAAACAGTTTGTTTTGCCACACCTACTATCTAAATTGCACAAAACATACAAATTGAATAGTATTAAAACGATTTACACGCATGCTTATACACTAACACACACACACACACGCACACGTACACTGGCAATATATATAGTTAGCTAGTTAAATTACTAACGACCTTTAGGATATAAAAAAGAAACAAAACAACAAAAAGCAAAGTATTTTCGAATCTCAGTCGGGCAGTTTTCAACGCTGAGTAATGCCCATCTAAATGTTAAATTAATCGGACCGTGAATGGGTCTTTAAATATATGAGTTGTCTCCGATTATGAGGACAAGAAACTGCCAACAAAAAACCTAAAGCTGCATAAAAAAAAAATAAAAAAATAAAAAAATACAAAAAATTAGTAAAAGAAAAAATTTAGCATATTTCATTGCCATTCATAGAAATTGTAAGAAATTGTAAATATAGAAGCTAACACTAGACTACAAAGTTAAGTAAAACGATAGTTCGTCAACTAATTATATGAAAGCCTTTGTAAAATGTTCTGGGCATGAAAATGTTTTAAGCTAATGATGTCAATTGGCTTGTTAATCAAATTAACAGGCTAGCAGGATGATATTTTATTAAAATCTAAGCAGGACTGGCTTGAATTACCTAATATATATATATAAATATTATCATATATCTACAAAAAATGTCTGCATCAAAAACACACCAAAAAAACTAAAAAAAATTATAATTTTTATATAATATTTTATGATAGCGTGGGATCGATCTTAAAAAGTCTTAATTCCAAATTGGATTACCATAATTTCGTACGATTTTATTTGACTCGGGTATACAGGATGCTATATCCGAAGTTTCAATAGATTAGAGAAGCAACCTTTCGATATTCAAATATTCTTAACACTTTAAGTTAACTTAACAAAGTGCAATGCCGCCTTATACAATATTTGTATATCTATGACTAACTTTAGTAAAGTAATCAATTGTATGTACGATTATATATGTACTATATGTGTATATGTGTATGTATATATATAAATCTACTTATACGTACGTACGTTAGCTTGCAACAAGAATACTCATACTTAGGAATTTCGACACCCAATCCAAAAAGCCAGATACAGCAAATCTAAGTCCCCCCATACACGTGGACACGCTTCAAATATCACTGCCAAATCGATTCATTTCATTGACACAATTATAATTTTAATCCTCTCTGCACCACTCGCCCCCGTCACCGCCCCGCCCCTGCCCAATTAAATTTTAACGTATTTTGGTATTATATATATTAATTAATTAATGAATTTATGTTTAAGCATATCTACAACAGTAATTTAACCTATGTAAAAACAAATTGTTAAACCGAAAATGATATTCATATTGTTAACAATATAGAAGGATATGTAATTGAAATAAAAAATTGTCTTTATTGAAAATGTTTATAGTTTTAATGGAAGATATATATTTGGCTTTAACTTCACTGACTACGATTAAAAGCTCATTCATATACAGTTTAGATAAGTTTATAAAATATTTTAATATTTTCACACTTTCAGCAAATTTCGCCCAAAAGTTCGTCAATGCGAAATTCGCCTGTGGTCATATTTCTCTTTTTTTTTAGGGTATATGGCTTGAAGAGTGTTTTGTTAGCCTCTTGTTGTTGTTGTTGTTCTTGTTGTTGTGATCATTATGATAAGTTAACACTAGATTGTTGTTGTTATCCTTGTCTTCTTCTATGCTGGTTTGGCCTAATGAGCAGCGGGCTGGCGTTGGTGAAAAGCTCGCTGATGTTGGTGTTGGTGTTGGTGTTGATGTTGGTGCTGGTTTGTGACTTTGCTAGCCTGGTTGTTGTCTTTGTTGATCTTTCGCAACGCGGGAAAGATTTAAAAGCACTTGCGGTGCACAATGCCGGGACCAGACTCATCGTACTCCTGCTTGGAGATCCACATCTGCTGGAAGGTGGACAGCGATGCCAAGATGGAGCCACCAATCCAGACGGAGTACTTTCTCTCAGGTGGCGCAATGATCTTGATCTTGATGGTCGATGGGGCCAGAGCGGTGATCTCCTTTTGCATACGATCAGCAATACCTAATACACAAAAGGTATTACAATGGGATTCTGAGTCAAAGGAATCTTAATCTTTTACCTGGATACATGGTAGTACCGCCGGACAGGACAGAGTTGGCATACAGATCCTTACGGATATCGACATCGCACTTCATGATCGAGTTGTAGACAGTCTCATGAATACCAGACGACTCCATGCCCAAGAACGAGGGCTGGAACAGAGCCTCGGGGCAACGGAAACGCTCATTGCCAATGGTAATGACCTGACCATCGGGCAACTCGTACGACTTCTCCAGCGAGGTGGAGGCGGCAGCGGTGGCCATTTCCTGCTCAAAGTCCAGAGCCACATAGCACAGCTTCTCCTTGATGTCACGCACGATTTCACGCTCGGCAGTGGTGGTGAATGAGTAGCCACGCTCAGTCAGGATCTTCATCAGATAGTCGGTCAAGTCGCGACCGGCCAAGTCCAGACGCAGGATGGCATGGGGCAGGGCGAAGCCCTCATAGATGGGCACAGTGTGGGAGACACCATCACCGGAGTCCAACACAATACCAGTGGTACGACCGGAAGCGTACAGGGAGAGCACAGCCTGGATGGCAACGTACATGGCTGGCGAATTGAAAGTCTCGAACATAATCTGAGTCATCTTCTCGCGATTGGCCTTGGGGTTCAGTGGGGCCTCTGTCAATAATACTGGATGCTCCTCGGGGGCCACGCGCAACTCATTGTAGAAGGTATGATGCCAGATCTTCTCCATATCATCCCAGTTGGTAATAATGCCGTGCTCAATGGGATATTTGAGCGTGAGAATACCACGCTTGCTCTGAGCCTCATCACCCACGTACGAATCCTTCTGACCCATGCCCACCATCACACCCTGGTGGCGTGGACGACCCACAATCGAGGGGAACACAGCACGGGGGGCGTCATCACCAGCGAAGCCGGCTTTGCACATGCCCGAACCGTTGTCGATAACCAATGCACCCGCATCATCGTCACACATTTTGACAGTTGTTTATCTGCAATTATAGATGAGATCGTAGAAGAATGATATATGGGAAACAAATGTGTGTAATCTGTGGCATTTTTCTAGCACTTTTAGGAGTTAAAGTTCTTTAGTTTTTTTCTCATTAATCCAATTTTCGCTCGGTATGACATAATAAAATATTTCAGATAATTTTACTTAAAGAATAGAATTTGATTAGAAATTTTAGATTCATTCTCAAATTGAATTCCAATTATAAGTCACATATTCCATTGATAAAAAGTTGTCGAGCTGTAATCCATGTGTAATCCTTTGAACTGAAGACGCACACACACGCGTACAGGGTACACACACACACAGACACACACCTTTTAGGCCAACGAAAGGAGTTGATGAAAATTAAAATCGCACGTTCGATTCTTGTTGGCTCCTAGACTCAACAACAAATGGCACGCGGCTGGTCAATTGCCGTCTTTATATCGAAGGCTCTCGCAGGGGGAATGCCTAATTGAGTTGAGAACTCAATTAGTTGGCAGCCAAGCAGCAATTCGCTGGGAGAGAGGCAGAGAAATTGAGTAGAGCGAAAGCAGTGCCACGCATTTAATGTGAATCGATCCATATAAGCCGTTTCCTAATTGTCGAGCAGGCACGTTCGGCTCTATGCGACAACTGTAGGCGCTACACTCTGCTTGGTTCAATAAAAGCCTTGTTAGCTTGTGTTTGCTTTTTTGAATGATTATTGAAGATATCTAAGAGATAGACTTGCCCTTGAGAATTGCTAACTATACATCTGATTGCAGGGTATATGCAGAGAGTCGGAGAGAGCTGTGACGCACACACTGCAGGGCAATTAGATTGCGACCTATCTAAATGACTGATAAGCAAATATGCGTGGCCGGGAGAGCACGTCAGTCGATTAGCCGATTGCAGCCGTATCCGTTCCCTCTGCCCCGCCCCGCCCCCGTCGCCCCTTGCAGGCGGCGCCGTGCCGTGCAGCTAGTGCGAAGATACTTCACCTCGTTGCCAATTCGAAAAATAGAAACGAACCTTAGAAGGACTGACAGATGCTGCAAGACAATTGGCAAGCCGTGGACCCTGAGCAGCAAGAGCAGGCCAGATAGCGCTGCAAATACTGAGAGAAAGAGCAGGAGGGCAATAGCCAGGGACGCAGGCACGCAGCATCGCTGCAACGCCGACACCGATGCAGCCAGAGGCAAGCAGCGGCAACGGCAAGCACCGAAATAGACGCCGTCACAGCACATAGACATCTATAAATCAACATCAAGGTTGTTATCCGCGAGAGCTTCTCGAGGAAGCATTGGTTCGGCTCGACGAAGTTGCGAAATAGCCGCGTCGCGCATTTTGCATGCCAATTAATTGAATTTTACCAAAATCAGCAACACAGCGCCGAGAGATGCATGTGAATGCATTTTTTATTGTCTAGGTATTTGAGTTGCTCAATGCATTTTTCTCGCATATATAATTTTCTTTTTTTATTTCTCACTCATGCCATTTGAATTTGTCCTTTTATGCAGCTTTAGCTTCGTTCATTTTCTTGCTTGCGTGGCCAGATATTTATACGAATTTACAATGCACCTTTAAATATAGCATCAACTGATCCTAAAATAAATGTCAATTGCTCGGAAGTGCTTAAATGCAATTCCCTCAATCTGTCACTTAATTGATTTTCATATACTTAAACTGTTAGTTGGGATCACTTAATGCTCTATCTGTAAGTTGAACTTTACTAACTATGGGACTAACTAAAAAGTTTGCCCATTGGCATCATAATTCATTTCTTAATTTGATGATTCTTTTTTTATACCCTGATCCCATTAAAAATGGGAAATCAGGGTATAATGGTTTTGTGCAAATGTATGTAACAGGCAGAAGGAGGCGTGGCAGACCCCATAAAGTATATATATTCTTGATCAGGACGACAAGCCGAGTCGATTGAGCCCTGTCCGTCTGTCTGTCTGTCCGTCTGTCCGTCTGTCCGTCTGTCCGTCTGTCCGTATGTGTGAACGCGTGGATCTCAGCATCTATAAGAGCTAGAGACTTGAAATTTTTTTTGTAGGTCCGTGTATAGCACGCGCAGGTCAAGTTTGTTTCAAATATTCGATAACTATTCGCATTTAATTGTTATCGAATAAAAACATTATTGAAATGCAGTAAATAAATTATATCTCGAACGTCTTAAGAGCTAGAGCTTCCAAATTTTGTATTTAGTCTTATGTATATTTTATGCAATTTTGATTTTTGTTGGATTTTGGATACCGGCTCCAAATTCCCCCAAATTCTTAGAATTTAAGTTTAGTTGGAACTAGGGCCATTATGTCAAGGCGTTTGCATCTCAACCAAGCCAATAGGATATATAGATCATATGCTGAAAATTTCATTAAAATCCATTAAGTAAAACAGAAGTTATTAAACAAAACGTTTGTCCAATTTGCAAAAGCACATGTCAGCAGCGCCACGCGCACGCATTTTTCCTATGCGTGTGCACACATACATTCAAATGCGTGCATTCTTTTCTATTCCAAGAATTGAAATTGCGATTGAATTGTGCTGAATTATTAGCTGCTACTTATGTTCAAATTTGCAACATCTTACGTAAAGAGGGAAGTGGCTGTGTTGGTAGAGGCGCCGCTCGTATGCAGCTTGGTCCGGGTTCGAGACCAGTGGAGATGAAACGTTTTTTATTGTTTTATTTTTTTTAGTTATGAAGTGGCGGTGTTGGTAAAGTTTGTGCACGTTGCGCAAATAATCCGGGTTCGAATCCTGGTCTCGCAATGTTGATTTTTATTTGTTTTCTGTTTTTTTTTGAATACTCGATACAAACTACGGAAAATTTAAAAAAAACTCAGAGGACTGGGATCAGGGTATCTCCTAGTCGGGCACCCCGACTAGAGCTTTCTTACTTGTTTAATTCTTATTTATTGACATTAAGCTTTTTTAGCATATATCTCAAACTGTGTGTCTTCAATGCTTTTAAGTATCTGTTGAACTTAATTTAAATTCTAGAAATTCTTTTAAGTGTCTGTTGAAGTTAATTTATATTTTAGCACATTATGTATAAAGTTTATTCCATTTCCATTTTTTTTTCCTTTGCTGTGCTGCGGCACATCGAATCTTATACTTATAGTTCAGCATTGACATAAACAAAATCTCGCTAATTTGATATCTAAATATTCGTTTTTGAAATAAATTTATTTTCGCTATGAATTTCTTATTGATGAATTAGGATAGCTTGAAGACTCTGACTTTATGCAACTAAGATTTATTTATATTGCAAGCAGATAAAAAAACTAAGAAAAAAAAACAACAAAATGAACGCCAACCCTAAGCTAGATTCAAGAGCTAAGCTCTTTATTAAAACCAGTTTCTTCTAAAATATTAAATGTTTAATGCCTGAAACTCTTTTGAAATTCTTATTTAATATATATATATATATATATATATATATATATATATATATATATATATATATATATATAAACTTGAATATAATATATATTTTTTATAATAAACATAAACAAGCAAAAATTTAAAGTGTAATTAGTTTTCTTAAGTAAGCTCTTCTATTAGAACCGAAATTCCTCACATGGACACCGTTAATACGAGTGCTTAATTAATATAAATAAAAGTTAAAATATATTTATATATATTTTACTCCCATTTAAAAATATATCAATATATCAAATTTGGTTCTATACAGTAAAAATAATATATATAGTTCACATCTAACTTAAGATGATTTGATTTGTATTTGTAGTTTATGTTTCTCTGCAAGTGCCATAATAATTTTCCCATTGCATATCGAATGAACAATTAAACCATGCCTAAAAGTATGCAACACTTTTCAAACCAAAATAAATATCTGTGTTAGAATCAAAGCGAACTTGGAGCAGAGGTAAAACATTTTTTAATATATTTTATGGTACTAGAAAGTGCAACAAAAAAGAATTCAATATTTGTAGGACTAGCAAAAGGACACTAAAAGTATCAATCGAAAATAAAAGATTTTCCTAACTGCAAGTCTTTGAGTTGCTTTGCTGCATATTTACTTAACGCCCGACTAAGTGAAAAGTATAAATATTTATTGCTAGTTTAATATGTAACTTTCTGCAAATAATAATGTTTCCTTACACAATTTGAAATGGTTATACAAGTTGGTGAAATTGAGGCCTACAAACAAATTGGTCATAATAAACGGGCTGCAAGACACAAGAGAATATTTTGGGCAGCACCAGCAACAGCACCAGCAGCAGCAGGGCAGCCCAAAACAATGGAGCAGTCACAGAGCACAAAGCACAAAGCGAAAGCTAAGCGAAGCGAACGTGCGCCAGACCCAAACGAAAGACTTAAGCCACGAACTTGTGCTGTGGGACTCGAACTGGGAGCCAAGCAGAAGTAGAATGAGCCAAAGCAAAAGCCAAATCAAGTTTTGTGACAGCAACTGCGACGCCAGCCGCGATAGCGGCAGCGCTTGAAAAAGAAAGTGCAAGTGGACGCGGATGCTTTAAGTATTCCATCAGCGTGGCGCTGCGTGCGAGTGTGCGCGTTCGTATGTGTGTGTGTGTGTGTGCTGTAGTTTTGATTCTTCTTATTTTTTGCTGCTAGGTTATTTTATTTTTGTTTTTTTTTTTGGTGTCTGTGCCGAGCACTGCTGCTGCCGCCGTCGAGACCAAAGCCAAGTTCGAGAGCGCGTTGGCGATGACGAAGACGGCGAAGGTGAAGGCAGCGGCAATAGCAACAGCAACAGCAGCGACGCTGACCTACTTCCACGCTCTTACAATCAGAATGTTTTATGTTTCGATTTTATTATTTTATTTTTTGTGTAGTGTTCGTTTCGTGTATCTTTTCGATTTACTGGCCAGCAGACGTTAACCAAGCTGTCCATTTACACATATGTGTATGTGTGTGTGTGTGTGTGTGTGTGTGTGCGTGCATGTGTGTTGGTGTGAAGTTACTTTTTCTTTTCTTGCGTTTTGGCTGCTCTCAATTGTTCATGCGGTTTGGTAGGCCTATGAAAGATACACGAGAATCATTTCATGCCATGACTTTCCAAAAAATTTGTTGTATTTTATTTTCGTAGTTTTATGTATGTGTAACTACGTATGTGTGTGCGTGAGTAACAGAATTTCACTCGCTTCTGTACTCATATATATATTTATAAATTTATATTTTTTCCTCAATTACTTTCACATATAAAAATATTCTCGATCTTGTTAACAGGGCGTGTCGAATCTCAAGACGCGATATGATTTACTTTTTACTGTCGACTTATAAGGCCAGCATCTCTCTTTATGCATCTCAAGTCTGTGGCTTATCTTAAAGCTGTCGCTGCACAGCGCAGCATTACACTACTCTAAAGGGCTGCAAAAATGTTTCTTTATTTACGAAAAGGAGATATTCCTGAAAAATACCTGCCCATCTGTAAAGCGGCCGCAACTTTGCCCCACTGTGAGTCGCTTGCCAGATTGTCAGCTGCTGTTGCTGCCGCTGCTGCTGCCGCTGTTGCATGACATAAACTTTCGATTGTCTGACTGGGTCGGTTCGTCACATAACTGTTGCTCCGTCACACACATCTTCTCGTTCTTTTCGGCATTTTGTGGCTTCCACCGCCATTTGGGGTATGAGGCCGAAATGGGTAATTGGGTCAGGTCTCGACGGGAAAAGCTTTCAAATTCATTTCACTTAAAATTCTTCAAGCTTAATGTTTTCTTATTTTAAGATTTTTAGTCATTCGCCCCAGCCGGTGGGCAGTTCTTTACGAGACTTTATGAAATCCGAAGTCCGAAATCTCGTTTCATTGAATTTACAACTTTCGTGGCTTATTTCTTCAATTTGTCTGATTCTGGCATTTGGTGCTGCTCTGCATTGTTTTGATTTTTATTTCGGCTGTGGCTGTGGCTGTGACTTTTGGATTTTGCTTTTTGACTTTTGGCTCTTTCTTGGTTCTTACCCATTTCTCTTTCTCCTTTCTTTGCGCTGCTGGTTAATAATTTTATGTTAATTATTAAAAAGTGAAAATAACTTTTTACACTGACGATTTTGGGTCTCGAATCTTGTGATTCATTAGTTCTGGCTGGGGTTTATATAATGTATGGCTCGCCTGCTAATTAAGCATATACTCGCCAATTGAGATCATTTTCATTTTGTCTTGTATTTTGTGCTAATTATCATAAAGACGAGATGCTTAGTGCTAGTAAGTAGGCAGGGCTCAGGTTAAGTATGAGTCAATCGATGGCATACGATTACATGCTACAAGAAGAAGAGGCTTTACGCTGACTGATCTGTGAGCGTATTTAAAATTTAACTTTCACCCAGATGGCAGTAAGCTCGGAGTAACGGCATCAGTATTACCATCAATCGGTCCAACGGATGCCGCTGACCACTGGCATCATAATGTGTTGATGCATCACAGCGGATTATCGAGTACTTATGTGAACTCACCTGCACGTGCATAACATACAAGCACACCTACATACACACACATACATACACGCTGTGCCGTGTGCATAGAATTGAAAATGCTTGAAGACCGAACAAAAGTTTTACTCGATTGAAATTCTCCAGCGATTTCACAAGCTTGGGAAAAATCTCAAAAGAAAGAAAAAGCAATCGAAAGACCAGCAAAAATAAGTAAGAGTGCTTCAGCTGGGACTGCATGACTAGATAATACCCTGTAGCAATTCTTAAGTAGTTTTTGTGTTTCTTGTCTAATAAATATGTACAAAAAGTATCAAAAAGTAAGTGCGAAAGTCTCTAAGAAGTATCTGAGGGGAACAAAAGCATCTATAAGGTATCTGTTATTACCTTTGTATATGTGACTACCTCTAACATCAAGAGCTTTCATAACATATACAAAAGTATCTGTTATTTATAGCCCACAATGTGTAAGCTTCGCTAGGAGATACAAAAGTATCTTGACAATCAAAATGAATCTGTTCGCGACACAAAAGCTGAGTGAAAGATAGAAAAAATGTGTTTAACGTAAAAGTAATTCTCATTCAGATAATACAAAATTTAGCAACTTCATCTCAAATGCGTGCAGGGTATTAAAAGAGGCCTATCAAGTACTGGGAAAATTCAATTGAAGCAACAGAGAGAGAGAACAAGAGAGATGCACAAGCCAGAGTAATAGAGGGGTGGAGAAATGTGAGCTATGAAACAGCAGACGGCTTCTGCATTAGAAAGTTTTCTACAACAACAACAACAATAAAGATAGTAACACCAGCCGCACAAACGACAAAAGAAGCAACTGTAAGTGCAGAGCCAACAACAACAGAAAAGAGCCTAAACATCAAGATACTTTTAACCAACTCGAAGTCGAAGTCGAAGTCGCAGTTAGAGACTCAGGCTGGGGCTGAGACTGCGACTGCAAATGGTCGAGCCCCGATCTTGAAACGCTCGCTGAGCAGACCAGACCAGACCAGACCAGCAAACTGCAACTGAAAAGATTTTACCAAATGCAAGCAACACACACAAACACACACGCACACTCACCTATAGAGTGAGATACATTTGATTTTCTTGGAGCCCAGCTTGGGTGTTTTTGGGGGCTCTGACGAGCTGATGCTGTCAGTGAGCAGGCAATTAAATGTTAATTAAGAATCCATTGGAAATTTCCCTCAGCTCGTGCATAATTAGCCGTGAGCTTGGCCATATGCAAATAAAAGTAAAACTGAAGCAACAATGGCAAGCAAATTACTTACGCAGAAGTTACAGCGAAAACAAAGCCAAGCAACAACAACAGCAGCAAAAATGCACAAAGGAAAAAAGTTTAAATTATATAATTAAAAAAAAACTACAAAAAATCTTGACGAAAATAGACGAAAGTTGTAATTTGCAGCTAAGCAACGGCAAATGCGCAGAAGCAAACGAAACGATGAAATGGAAAAAAAGAAAAGAAAATGAAAGAAAAAAGCCGCAGCGCGCTTAGAAGGCAGTTGCCAGCAAACGGCATTCGCTGCGATAGCGAAGAAAGTTAAAGTTATAAAAGTCCATTCGGAACGTGATGGCAATGGAACAGCCATAAATTGTAAATAATTAAGCGCTGCCGGATAGTCACTCTCTATGTATGCGCGCGTGTGTGTGTGTGTGTGCTCCCAAGGCGAAACTCTTACTGAAAGCCAACAAGCCGAAAAGCTCGCGCACATGGCCAAGCCAAACTGCGAACCAAAACAAAAGACTTCAACGAAGAACCAAACTTGAACTGAGCGCACGCTCAGCAGCAACTTGTCTGCGTCTGTGTGAGTGAGTGAGTGAGCGAGCGAGTGAGTGTGTGAGTGTGCAGAGAAAGAAATGGTAATGCTAGCAGCACACAGAACCAAAGTCAAGCAACAGCTTGAATGCGTGTGTGTGTGAGTGTGAGTGTATGTGTGTGTGTGTTAAGCGAAAGCGTCGCAAGCAATGAAACAAAATGGAATGGCATGAAATTTCTTAGCGATCTTTGAGGATAAGCGCTGGTTTCACTGCGCGCTGCCGCACAGACGTCTACAGTGGTTCGAGGCAGACGTTACGTTCAAACGGTCGGCGCGCAAGAATCGCCACCAAATAGTTACAAAACTAAAGCAACAACGACCACAGCAACAGGCGGCTGCGTGCAGAACTCTACAAAAAAAAAATAAAAAAAAAAAACAAAAAACTTTTATAGTTAGAAAAGCAAAAATCAAAGAATATAAAGAAAAACTTTTACAATTCCAACCCAAAGTTCGGCTCCACAAAAAGTGTGTTCAGTGCATCAAATTGGAAACTTTATGAAATACTAAAAATAAATACATATTATCATTATACATATAAGAGAAGCCAGCGAAACATAGGCTTGACAAAATGTTGACTACTCCTGACTTTAGTGCACTTGAAATATAATTTTCACCAATGAGCAAAAACAACGACAGCAACTAAAGCAAAATTAACGTCGCATAAAACTGTTTTGTGTTCTCTGCATATCAAGCGAAAAGTGAAAGTGTTTTTTATCGGTGCGCTGCAGCTTGGGCTTTGGCGTTTTTTTTGGGCGCTCGGCGTGCGTGAGTGCCTCTTGAATTCCAAATATCTTACAATGGAAACCAGGCAAACTACCAAATAAGCAGCACCGATCAAAGAGAAACTATCAAACCAAAAGCATATGTGCGTGTGAGTGTGTGTGTTTACAATTTACAACATTGGATTACAATAAACAACAGCAACAGTAACAACAACAACAACAACGAGGAGGAGCTCCACAGAAAGGATAAGCGAGGACAGCAGCAAGAATTATATAAATTTGGATATGGCTGCCAACGAGATAATGGCGCCGACAGTCAATGCTAACTGTCAATACTCGACCCGATATTGCTGTAAGTTGAACATAATTTAATCAAGATCAAAGGATACTCAGCCTAGAGCCAAATTATAGAGTAAGTCAGCTAAGTTTGGGAGCAAAAGCTAAAGAAAATAACGAAATTCCCGCACACTTTTTGTAGAAAGTTTCAGAAGAGATCACACTGTGTGTGTGCTGGTGTGTGTGTGTGTTGGTGTGTGTATCTTAAGCATCGTCTGAGCTGCAGTCACCCAAGCAGCCGTCGTACGTTGTTGCCCCTGTTGAGCATCGGCCACAACTGCGCCGCGCGTCAAGTTGGTTTCTTCTGCTTCTGCTCGGCTCGCTGCAAGCTTTGGCAGCTCGCTGGCTTCTGCCGCTGCTGCGAGTCGAATATTAATAGGTGAAAGTTGTTGCTTGGATTTGTTGTCTCCCTCCCTCCCTCTCTCTCTCTGTCTCTATCTTTTTCTTTTTGCGGCTGTTGCTTGATTGTGCTGCTGCTGCTACTGCTGCTGCCATAGCTCTAAGACCCTTGCTAGTTGTACGATTTATGTTTCCTTTCTTTTCTTTATATTTGTTATTGGCTCTTTCTTTCCTTTTCGACTGCGCGCAGTTAACTGGTTTTCATGGCTCAGGTGCTTTAGTCCTGACCCATTTTCCACAGCCTCAGCATTAGCATAGTGGAACATGAATTTTCCAGTTATTCGATATAAATTCTCGTAATGTGCAGCCTTCAAAATTGTTGTTGTTGTTTTTGTGTTGTTTGTTGTTTACAACAAATCCAATTTGAAGCTCTAGCGACACTCGGTCTGTTAATGTGGCCTGGCTTTGTCGCTTTGGCATTTCCATTTCCATTATAATTAAGCGCTTACATAATCAAGTTTTGTTTACAAATTTTTGCTGCTGCTGCTGCTGCTGCTGCTGCTGCGGACGTCGTGTGTGCAGGTTCGCTTTTCGAGTTCAATGTCCCAACTTGTTGCTGTTGTTGGGTCTAAAGACGTCGATTGCAACAGCTCCTGGGCGACACGTATGGATCTCTCTGGAATCCGTGGCGTATGCGCAATATGTTTGCGTCTCATTTCAATTTCTGGTTTGCGCTCGCCAATTCGACTTCGTTTTCGATTTCGATTTCGATTTTGAACTGTTTTCGAGCTTGTTTTTAATGTTGATGTTCGTTTCGATTTCTATGCATTGATATTTAGCTTTATAAATATTATTGCTGGCACTTTTTGCACGCGCAATTATTAAGAATGACTCATCGGGTTTTCTGTTGGCCAAGTCAAAATTGTGTTGCCAAAAAAGATGTGTGAGTGTGGCTCTAAGTTACCTGGTGTGTGTGTGTGCGCTTTGTATCACGCGTTTTGCTTTTGAAGTGCATAACAAGAAAATAGTTTAAATGTTGGCGAGTGTTGGAGTCGTTTCGAGTGGCCGTTGCTCAATAATACCGTTGCTTGATAAACCGCTACAAATTATATTGCTCACAAGCACCAGCCAAAGCACAGGCATACATCCATACTACCACCTATCGATACCTATCTATGCATCAATATGTTTTTATGTTTCTCTGTTTGTCCGTTTGTCCGTTTGTCCGTCCCCCGTCTGGCATTTGGCGTTTTGGCTGTTTTCTATTTTCGTTTTGAATGCGATTATGCAACCTGCGCTTGAGCTTCGCTTCGTTTCTTGTCGCTTGTCGCTCGTCTTGGCCAAGTAACGCGCTTCGCCGTAGCATCTGAATGAAAGTCATGTCATTAGGCAACCCATGCCTCAGCCCCTCTGCAATTGTTAAAAGAGAAATTTTAAAGAAATGTAGCTTGATGAGGCATCAATAGAATTTCATATTTCTTCAGAGTTTGGCTAACAAAGAGTCTGCTTGACTTTTGGCTGATGTTCCACTGGAATTCAGGAAGATCCTTCATCCAAGTTGTAGGCGCCATCAAACACACGCACTTACACCTAGCCAATATACTTAGCCAACAGCCCGTGTAGAAAGAGGCTATAATCTTGTGTGTGGTTTTTTCTTTTGGTCTTGCTTTCTAACTTCACTAATCCGTCAGCCGCAGGCAAACAAAAAACTTGCGTGAGTTTCACACATTTTCAATTGGAACTCTGTTCGCTTCCTAGTTAAAGAGTTATATATATTTATGCGATATAAAGCTGGCTAATCGGCACACGTAGCATTCGTGATGCAATGATTATTAATTCTATAAAAGTTGGCTTTTATTTAAAGCGCTAACGACATTTAATTGGCCATCAAACGTGATAGAAGCTGCGACACTAAAGCAAGAAACTCTTTTGCATAACCAGCCGAAAGGGCTAAGCATTAATCAAATTCATAACGGAATGGCTTTCGTAATTAGTTGAATCGAAAAGTAATCTCTCAATTGTAATGGCTGGATCTTTCAGCTAATCATTATCATTACTTTAGTTAACAGCATCTTAATGAGCCTCTCTTTGTCTCTCTACAATTGATTGTGTGGCGCACAAAAGAAATGGCTAATGCCATCCAGCCCGGCTCAGAGCAGACAGATATCATTTTTGCTTACAATTCGTTTGCCTTTCTTTCCCATGCACACTTACACTTGGCTGACGTTGGTTGTTGGCTGTTGGCTGTTGGACTACCGCAACAGTGGCTCGCCCCGCACCACCACAATTTGGCGGTTGGCCCGCATGGCTGGCGGTTGGCGGTTGGCGGTTGGCAAGTACTTGCCATCAGTGGTTGGTTCGCTTAACTATTAGAACTTTCACTTTAGGCTCGCCTCGGCTGAAGCCCTCCACTGGGAATCGGGCATTGTATAATAGGATCAGCATTTAAGTGTGTCAACGGATGAATTTCAATAATAATGCTCGAATCTTAACACAGTTTTATGAACATTATTTTGACAGCCAAGTGGGTAATTGTTTATGCAGAAGTATAGAAAAAAATTATAAAAAAAAATTAATTTATATAAAACTTTTTGGCTTTCATGCAGCGAAGGTTAAGTTTTTATTTTATCTATTTTTTTATATTTTTTATTTTAATTTTTTTATGTAAGATGCCACGATTTGATTTGATTTTGTTTTGCATTGCTTTTATTTATTTTGTTTTTTTTTTCGTTTTTTTTTTTTTTGCAATATATATACAATATTTTTAATGAATGATTTGGTTTTTAATTTTTTTGTTTGTTTGTTTTTATTTTGCAATTTTGCGAGACGCGCCAAAGTCATTTGAACCTTTGTCAATCTCTATCTACACGATCGCATCTATGGCACGTAACTATGCGTGTGTGTGTGTGTGTGTGTGTGCGTGTATACCCTGACTCTTACCACTATTTACATTAACATTAGAGCTTTACTTTTGCTTCGTTGTGGTTGCTGCTTCTGCTGCTGCTGCTGCTTCTGACAGCGCAAAGTGAAAGTTGTAAGCTCAATGTGTGTGTGCGCGAGTCGAGCTAAGCTCAACTGAGCTAAGCTGACACATCACATAAGCTCATCAAAAGTTTTGAAATACTATATACACACTTACCGCTTAAGGTAAGCAATTGATAAGAATATCAATTGAGCTGAAATGAAAAGTGTTTTTCTTTGCTTTCGAACATCAAATGTTATACGACAATCATAACAGCAATTAGAAAATGCAAACATTCAAGAGACAACACACACACACATACACACGCGAGCCCACACACATGCTGAGATACGTTTAGTTGCTGTTGCTCATACGCCGCGTTGCACTTTCGAAAAGCAACGGCTCAAGTGCATGTTAAACATCGGGAAGCAAGAAAGAAAATCTTTGTTAAAGTTCATAAACCTTCTTGCGAACAAAGCGACTAACGAGATAGCAATGGCAGCAACAAAATGCAACAGGCGATTTTCAACAACGAGTTTCAACTTCTACTTAAAGCAACATGAAAAGCCATAAGTTTTCCAATTCAGCAGAGAAATTCAGCAAAGCGAGCAAATAAATTTATATATATATATTTATGTATGTATTTCTGTTTTCCTTCCTAAATTACTTCTGACAACGTCAATGATTACAATAATATATAATCATGATGGATGGCTGATAATGATGATGATGGCGATGATGATGATGATGATCACGCTGGAAATGTTGCCCGTTGCAAACTGCCTGCCTGCTGTCTGGTCATGCTTATAAGTAGTGCGGAATTTCCACAGTCGCTTGGCGTACATTCAACTTCAAAATGAAAATTTGTAAAGAGAAAAGTCGCGAGCGGGCATAGCAAGTGGTCTGAAATGTTAGTTAATTAGCAACTTTTGACTTTTATCTCTGCTGCTTGGCATTGCCTTTCTTCTAAAATGCTCGTCGGAAAATGTTTAACAAATACATTTTGCTGCCGACTATGAAAGACAAAAAGATAGAAAAAGAAAAATAAATGCATTTCTGCATCATTTGGGAGAAAGTAAAAGCCGAGAATTAAATACCAGCCTGGCGGCTGTGGCTGCCTCTGGGTATTACTGGCTGACTGGCTGGCTGGCTGGTCGATGACTTACACGGAAAGCCGGCGCACGGGGCGTATGCGCATTGTCTGAGCTTTGCGGCCGTGCCGTGCGGAGAAAACTCTCAAGAAATGCAGCAAAAGTAGAAAACCGACTGCAAACTGAGTTAGCTGCAAGTCGTTTTCGTTGTCGTTGTCGTTGTCGTTGGAAAGCCGCATCAGCAGCATCTCGTATTTCATTGGAGTCTGGTTGTTGTTGTTGTTGTTGCAGTGACTGCACAAAACGCAGCACCAACGCAGTCGAATTCTTCCATTCGCCTTGGCATTGCATTGCAGTGCACTGCATTCGAGCAAAAGTTTCACATTGTATTTATTCATGGGCAGCCTTAGTTAAGAGGAGATTGTTCAACTTAATGCTCTGCTATGGGGCATGCCCGCGAGTTGTTTGCGAGCCGTAGCAATTGGAAAGGTGGCCCCAAAAGTTCAACAGCTAAGAATTTGGTACAACATTTCTGAACGAAGCTAAACACACAGAGAATTTAACTACGTCGTAAAATAATTTAAATATATGAAACATACAAATACAAGTTTCATAGATAACAAAATGAGAAATTACTTTCTTTGTCTCAGAAGTCTTGATATGCCTGGCATATCATATGATGGCTCTACTCGTTCGGCACCATCAGAACTTATCAATGCCAATCACTTGGCCTGTCCGAGTGCCACGCCCCTAACACGATTAACGAGAGTAGGGCAGGCTGAATGCTTGATTTGACTTCCACTGGCTTTATATATGCAATGCAGACACTAAAAATCCCACTGACCTCATTAGAAGTTCTCACGCAAAGAACAGATGGCAAAGCCAGAACGAACAGAGAGGGAGCGAGACAGGGAAAAAGCTGTGAAAAAGCGAAACGTCACGGTTAACAGTTTCGCATTTCATCAAGTAAACAAACAAACAAACGGAGAGTTGGCCAAAACAAAGCAAGAGGAAAGAACGCTTCAAGGGGGGCGCCGCGCAATCAGCGTAGCTGAAAGAAAGAAAGGGGCCGTAACGAAAGGAAGCCCAACAAATCGTTTTCAATTCTCTGGCCAATTATGCGTCAAGTCCCGACGAGCTAGCAAATGCCAAGAGAAAAACGAAACAGCACGAGAATCTTCAAAATCAAAAAAAGAAAATAGTAAAAAAGAAATGCAAATGTTGATTCATGGGTGATAAGTGTGTGCGGCGGTTCTTAAGGCCCGAGAACCGGTTCTGTGGCTACGAAAGTGCTTCAAACGGAAGTGAGCACTGAGCACGAGACAGAAGATGAAGCAGAAGACATGGAGAGCTGCAGATGAAGGAGAGCCACAGACAAAGAACCAATGGCGTGCACTGAGAAAACAACAGCAGCAAGAGCGGCGCGTCTTTGGTCAAATATAGGTCAAAAGAGAAACTAACGGTAAATGCTGCTGCTATTGTTGCTGCTGCTGCCAAGACAGACCTTTCGGCTTGTACACAGAGCAGCAGCAGCAGCAGAGAAACAGATCAGCAGCAGCAGAGGCAGCATCTCATGGGCTGCAGATGATTTGGGTTACATAAAAGGGCGCGAACGGAAAGTAGAAACCAGAAGACGACACTAAGCTTGTGTGTGTGTGAGAAGTTGTCTGACATGATATGGATATACACACTCATACACACACACACACACGTACACGCACTGTTGAACGGGCGCGCAGACGCACGAAAAACTTGCTGCAAAGAAAGTGAAACTTTTGTGTGCCGCTCCCCCGGGCAACAATTTGCGCTACTTCTGCTGCAGCGCCCCCTCAAACCGCACGCCCCTCAACACACACACGCACACTTACACATTTATGCTGCTGTTGTCTGCGTTTGCCATCAGCGGCGAATGGGAAACGTGGAACCTCAGCATGTCACGAACAGAAGGTTGAGGTTGTTTTACACAAGCCTGGCTCGAGTGTTGTCTTTGTTATTATGCTTAGCAAATCTGATATAAATATATATATAGTATATATATTTTTTATATATATATATATTTTTTTTGTGCAAATTGTTTTGCGCATAGTTTTGGGTTGGGCTAGGTTATAGCTAGACACTTAAATGAATCAAGCAGAGGCTGGCGAATCATAAAACTGTCCGCAGATCGATATCGCTTTAATGGCCTTGCCCTAACCAAATGCATCGTGAACTAAATCACTTTGGGATGTAACTCATAAGTAATAGAAGAGCATTATATTAATGGATCTCAAGCTATATCAACCTTTCTGGCTGGCAGTTTGTTTCCTCGAGTTTAGGCTAATATTTTTCACATAATTTCAGTCTTAATCAAATAGTTTTTCGTGTAAAATTTCCATGAAGTTCGATTGCAGTTTTAAGTTCATTATTTTTAATAATTAAAAAAATTAGTTTGATCTCAATGTGAATTGATTTCGATATTTGTTAAGTTTAAATAACCCAATTCAACATTTAGAAAGTAAACGGGCCGTGGGCTCAGCTAGAATGCAGGCCGCCCAGTCTGCAAAGCCTTCGCCTGCGCCATCGCCTTTGCCTTCGCTTTCGTCTCCTGTTGTGCAGTTCGCTTGGCAGTTGAGCTGCGAGGCGGGCTTAGATCCGGCTTCGGTTGCGCCAAGTCATTTTCTCTTGGCTAAAAAGAAAAAGAAAAATAACTTTACAAAAAAATAAGCAAGCGAGCGAGCGAGCGGGCTAGCAGGCGCGCAGCTTGTAGCTGGCTTCTTGGCCTGGCTGAAACAAGAAATCAGCCAGCTCAAGAAACATGAAAGAAGAGAAAGACACGTGAAATAAAAAGCCCCAACAGATATACAAAGCAAAGAGAGAGAGGGAGACAGAGCGATGGCAGAGAAGAAAGAAAAAAGTGAACGAGTAGAAATTACGGTAAATAAATAAAGAAAGACGGCAAAAAGAAATGAGCGAACGTCGTCATAAGCGAAAGTGAAATCTGCTAATGAATTCTTCAACGTTGAATAGTTTTCAGTCATTATGGCCGCCAGTGGAGTGTTGCTGTTGCTCATGGCGTATACTTGATGAGCATACATATGCCATAAACACACGTCTATATATCGCATCTATATAGACGTAAGATGCCAAGCGACTGATCTTGCTTTCGGCTGTGGCTTTGGCTTTGGCTTCGGTTTCGATTTCGATTTGGATTTTTTTGGACTAAGCTGGTAAAAGTTGCTAGATTCGCTATAGCAATTAACCAGCAGCCAATTTTGAGCCAATCTCGAGATTACAATGATTTACAGAGCAATTCGAATCGAATCGAGTCGAAACGAAACGAAACGAAACGAATCGATTCGAATTGAATTGCAGCGCATTGCAGCTATGTGACGGGTTCATTGAAACCTTGCCAGAGGTCTTTAACGGCAATGCAGCATAAACTTGAATTGCAGTGGCAAGTGGAAAGTTGCACTTGGCCAGTCGGATCAATGCCCCGCGTCGATCGAATCTCGAAATTTGACGAACTTTTTGCCAGCTATTTGCACAAAGCGCTCATAACTAGGTTAAAGCACATAACAAATTTGCAGTAATAACATTTAGATACATTCGGGGAGCCTACGCTTTTTCGTTTCTTTCTTTTCAAGTGTTCACGTAGAGCAATCCGTCGCGTTGGGTAACCCAAGCGATTGCATAATGTACGCAATTGTTTAATTTGAAACTCATTTATTATGTTTTACTTTTTCACTTTTGCAGGGGAAGCTGAAAAAGTCAAATCATTGATCAGATTACGAGCTGAACTCTCACCACTCTTCACGGGCAAAAGAAACGCCTCGAAATATGCCTGGGCGTAAGTAGCAAAAAATAAAGAAAAAACTTTAAATAATAATAAAAAATTAAGCTGAAATTTGAAACACCAACGCCTAATCTGCGATTATATCGCAATCATGTCATTCAACACATTCCCTTTCGTTCACAGCGTGGTCGAGCGCGAACTTAATGTGCCGCTGCCGCTGTCGAAGATCATCAAGAAATGGAACAATCTGCTGCAGGAGTACAAGGCCATCAAAATGTCCGAGGAGCCGAAGCGACGGGAGTGGCCATTCTTCACGCTGATGGACGTGTACTTCAGCGACCAGGTGAACGATCCCTCGTTGCGCCTCTTCTCGTCCACAAAGACGCTCAAGGAGACACTGGACGACAGCGTGTTCGAGGATGATCCAATCATTGCGTCAGCCATAGCGGCAGCCACCAGCGGCGCCTACATGGAAATCGATGAGCTGATCAGGCGGCAGAAGGAGCGCGCCGCCTTGGCTGCCGAGCGCAAGCTGGCAGCGGCGGCCAGCGGCGCCAGTGGCGACTATAAGTACGATCTGAAGCCTATGCTGGGCAATAGCAACAGCAGCAACAAGTTCAACAGCAACAGCGATATGGTGAAGCTCTCCAAGAGCGTCGACGACTTGTCCATGCAACAGTACAAGATTAAGCAGGAGCTGATGCGTCAGCGCGAGCAGGAGCAGCAGGAGAACATGGTCAAGATCAAGCAGCATGCACGCCAACAGCAGCAGCAGCAGCAGCACCAGCAACAGCAGCAGCAGCAGCAACAACAGCAGCAACAACATCACCAGGCTCAGCAGCAGCAGCAGCAGCGGTTCATGAGCCACCAGCCGTCACTTTCGCCGCATCCGCATCGCCTGTCCTCGTCGTCGACGCCGCCAGGACTGCAGCATGCACTGCAGCAGCAGCAGCAACTGTTGCAGCAGCAACAGCAACATTTACAGCAGCATCTGCAGCAGCAGCAGCAACAGGCTCAGCTGCAACAACAGCAGCAGCAGCAGCAGCAGCATCATCATCAGCTCGCTCATCCTCATCAGCCACCCACGCCGCGTCCCAGCTCGCCGCCAACTACCGCTCAACAGATCCACATCACAGCCACACAGCATCAGGCAGCCCAGCAGCAGCTGCAGCAGCAACAGCAACAGCAACAGCAGCAGCAACACAAGCAACAGCAACAGCAGCAGCAACAGCCCTACACCGATCCCAACACCATCGATCAGTATCTGTTGTCGTGGAACAATTTCCATGGCAACATGTGCCGCGGCTTCCACTCCCTGCAGAAGGATGAGAAGATGGTGGACGTGACCATAGCAGCAGGTGGCAAGATCTTTAAGGCGCACAAACTGGTAAACTGACAAAATACTTGATGGAACTGCTCCACTAACAGCTGTCTCCCGATGTCCTCTTCTCTTGTTCGCCTTGCAGGTGCTGTCCGTTTGCAGTCCCTACTTCCAGCAGATCTTCCTCGAGAATCCGTCCAGTCATCCCATTTTGCTGATGGCCGACGTCGAGGCCAGCCACATGGCCGGCTTGCTGGACTTCATGTACAGCGGCCAGGTGAACGTCAAGTACGAGGACCTGCCTGTCTTCCTCAAGGTGGCCGAGGCCATGAAAATCAAGGGACTACACACAGAGGTATACTTTGGTTGAGTCAATTGCATTCTGGAACCACTTTAGCACTCAAATTTCTTTGCTTCTAGAAAAATTTGGACAGCGATGCCAGCGATATTGGCTCGCCACTTGAAAGCGACGGCACCGAGTGCCGTTACGAGCGGGGCACGCATAGCGTCAATATAACCAGCGGCCATGCCGCTGGCTATGGTGCCACAGCACTGGAGCAGCCCACGCTGAACGGACCCAGCCGTTGCCCCACGCCGCTGTCGCTGACCAAGGATCAGGGCTATGCTGGCTTCCGTGAGCACATCAAGTCGAAGGCAACGCTGGCTGAGAGCTTTATGAAGAATCTTAATCGCAACAACAACAACAACAACAGCAGCACCAACAACAACAACAACTTCAACAACAACAACAACGTCAGCAGTCCAGCTGTGGCCGACGCCGAGAGCAACTCGTTTGCGATTCTGCAGGCGAACAGCAAGAAAATGCTCGACTCGGCACGCAAGCAGCACAAGTACCTGGCCAAGCGCAAGATCCTGATGCACTACAACGCAGAGCTGGGCGGCGAGAAGCGGCTGAAGGAGATGGACCGGGAGCGCTATCCCAGCGCCGAGCGCAATGCCGATGCACTGAACAACAATCACGCCTACGCCAACAGCCAGGATATTTTGGAGCCCATCACAACGATTGTGCCAAGGACGCCGGAGCCGCAGCCGCCGCCAGCTACGCACAACAACAACTCGTTTAAGATACGACTCGTGGAGAGTCATCATTTGACCAACAGCAACAAGAGCACCGGCAACAACAACAACAACAACAACAACAACAACAGCAGCAGCAGCAACAGCCAGCCTGATGACGAGGAAGCTTTGAATCTGGTACAAACGCCCAATCTCAATGGCAATCGGGCACGCCCACAAACACCAACACCTCCGCCTGATATACAGCTGGTGAAGCGTGAAGTGGAGCTTGAGGCGTCGCCAGGTGAGGCCACAAGCAACAACAACAACAACAACAATGGACATGATGAAGATCTCGCTGCCTATGAGCGCAAATACGACGACAACAACAACAATCGCGGCCTGGACATGGAGACCGATTCGAACAACAACAACAGCAGCAGCAGCGGCAAGGGCAACAACGAGACAAACAACAACAACAACAATGGCATCGGAGCCGGACTAGCATTGGCGCTGGGCAAGCACAAGTTGTTAAATGCAATCAATCGGAGTCTGGAACTGGAGCAGCAACAAGCTGCCGATGGTGGCAACAACAACAACAATATCAACAACAGCAGCATCAATGGAGAGCACGACAACGATGACAACAACAATCACAGCCAACATCTAGACTTGAGCACCATCAAGAATATAGCCACGGCTGAGATATTATGCGGCCTAAAGAGCAAGGTGCTCAAGCTGGAGGAAGAGCAGCGCGAGCGTGAGAGAGAGCGAGAGCGAGAACGCGAACGCGAGCGCGAGAGAGAGGCCTGTCGCAGTCTAAGCGAGATTAAGAACGCTGATTGATGCGATAGGCTGTTTTAGGGGCGGGGCTTATATATATATATATACACACACATATATACATATACATATATGTGAACATATGCATTTGATTAACTTAGCGAGGATATATAGTACATATAGCGAATCATCTATGTATGCTATTTATAGTTATTTATTATACTTTTTAATATCGTTAATATAATTTTAGACACACACACAAACACACACAAGAAGATACACACACACACACATACATACACATACAGACATTTTCATTATGGTTTATAGTTAGGCGTAGCATTTCTTCAGCACTCAAGATCATGAATTCCCCCAACTAGTTCTTAAGACTCTCAATATATATACTAACAACAATTACAAAAACCAATTTAATATTAGCATTTGGAAATTGGCCCTGTTGCAATACATCTTAAGGTCCTCTTAAACAATAATATATATTATTATATATATATATGACATACAATGTTTGTGTTGTTTAGGCTACATATATACAGGAATATAGTCCTGTGTCGCAGGTTTGCTTTGATAAGTGTTGAGCACCTGATTTGATTAATTGCCAACAACTTTTGCAATATGTATTTTTTATGATTATTTAAAGTATCTCAATCATATCACACTCACACTCACACACACACATATACTTACATACAAGCGCATTCACATACTATGAAATTATAAACATACATATTACCTACACACACAAAAAAAGGAAAAAACTAAAAAAAAAAAGAAGAAGAAAACAAAAAAGAACTAGTTTTAAGTGCATCTCGTTTTTAGTTTTAACTTGCCAACTCCTTTTGAATGTTGCGCGCTGGTTCCACATGTTCAGCTGCTTCGTTGCGTCCCGTAGCCCTGGAACGGTTCCGGAACTTGTTAATTGTTGTTTACATGCTGATGCGGCTGGAACCCAAACCTCATACATACCAGACAAACCACCCAATTGCAAAGAAAATTCAAACAAGACCCGCACATCGACCATGCACAGTGTAATTCGTACAATATTTATTAGCATTGTTTACATTTACAACATTTGTGTAGTATTTCATGCTGTTGAACATTTTTTTTGCTCGTGTACACGGATGAATGAAATAAAGAAATTGACACATTTAAAATCACAAGGTGTTTCCATTTGACCGTTACTTCGGGGTGTTTTCTATGAGTACGAGTGCGAGTGTGTGTGCGTGTGCTTCTCAACAGGGTGTATCGCATGCACGCCTGTTAGCTAACAGTGCTGCTTTACAGCGGCAGCTTACAGCGGACAGGACTTTGTGCGAGAGAGTCGCTCACTTTTCAGCTCGCTGTCTCACTCTCCGGGCTGTGAGTGTGCGAGCGAAAGCATCGGAAGAATCAAACGCGGAATACATTTTGGGTATTTTCGGTGGTTGACGGATGGGGGCGCGCCTTTTTTGCCCTTTTTTCGCGCGCGCATGCAACGCATGTAACTGAAAACTATACTGAAACACGAAGTGTTAGCTGAGCGGCCGAAGTCAACACGAAGTCCTGCCCAAACGGCATACACGCAAACAATCGTGCACACACACGCATACACACACACACGCGTGCGCACACTCTCACGAGCGTGTACAGCGAAGAAAACGAACGGAACGAAACGAAACGAAAGGCAGCCAGCTTACTAACAGAGGCAGCTAACAGACAGCAGTTGGTTGTCCGTTCTGTTCTCTGTGTGTGGTTGTAAAAAGGCGAAAACGTCACGAGAAAAACCGGTTAATAAATTATTGCCATTTGAATGGGAAATGCACAGTAAATAATTGTGAATAAATATATTAAAAATAGTGCAAAAGCCAAGGACCCAAGAATTGTGCATAAAAATTACATTTGCTGTGCTTAAACAAGTGAAAAACTTAAGTGAAAGCGAATGATGAAAATTTTGCTGAACATGGCGTTTGTTGCTTTTTTACACGCCTCCCTCCCCCGAGCGTTTCATTGTTCTGTGTTTGCGGCCATTTGTAAACTGCGCAAAAACATTTTACGCTAAGTACCACACACATTTGAAAAAAATTGGATCAGAAAATTGACTATATATATAGTGGATGCCCGATTCGATGGGCACATACGAAATGCGAAGCCTCGAGAATCGAGAAAATGCATCTGGCCAGAGCAGCACCCCCGGCACACATCTGTAATCGGCTTTGTGAAGAAAATGCGATCTGGGACTTTCAAGGATTCCCATAATGAAAGGCACAAAGGTTTGCGTATGACATGAAATGCGTAGCGGCATTGGGCAGCGGGTAATGGGCAACGGGCAGCGGGCAGCGGGCAACGGGGCGGCACACGGAAAGTGGGTGCAGAGCAGAAGCTGAAGCCAAGACAACGACCAGGACGAGTACAACGCGGCCGTCGCCCCGAAACAGGAACAAAGCAGCAGCAGTCGTAGTAGCAGCAGCGACAGCAGAAGCAGCGCCAGTACCAGAAGCAACAACAAAAAGGATACGAGCCATAAATGAATTTTACGTATTTCAGTATACACACGACAAACGCCGACCAGGACGACGAGGACGACGATGATGATGATTATGATGTTGTTGTTGTCGTTGTTCCTGCTGCTGGAAATAGGGTGGGTGGCAGTCCGACGTCTGCGACAGTAGTAATATACACACAAGCACACACACGCACACACCCATGCATGGCAGCTGGTGGGTAGAGAAAGAGTCGAAGCACAGAAGCAAGCAGACAAAGACGAAAAGAGAAAGGGACGACAAGAGAGCGAGAGAGCGTGTGTGTGATAGTGAGCGACTTAGCTAGAGAGGGGGAGAGAGCAATGCGCCGGGTACGTGCCAAATAAGGGATGGTTCGTCATTTCGTCGGTTTTTCACAACTCGTGTGTACATAGATACGTGGCTACATACACATGCACATATGCACACATGCACACATATACATGCATGTGTATATATTAATGTATGTATTTTGTCCAATTCGGTTGCAGGACTGCAGCAGCGACAGCAGCAGCAGCAACAACAGCGCTAGCGGCAACAACAGTTAGCACACAGATCAATAAGCCGACTGGGCAACACCCTATAAACATATACATACCCAACTGCATATACATACATTATTATGTATATACACTTGATACACTCGCAGCTGCATCTCCTGATGAAATGCCCAAAAGATTGGATGGCATATTCAGCTCTCGAAATATATGCATTGGATGCAAGAGTAAAATTCTAAATTGTTACAAAGTTGAACAGCCAAATGGAGTGCCTCGAAAGTGCCTAGCGATTCGAAGTTCGTAGTTCGAATTTCGAAAATCTTTCGTAACGCTGCCTAAACAAGAACTAAATACGATTGGTGGTTGCTGCTGTTGTTGTTGCTGTTTCCGTTGAATACTAGAAGGGGCGCGCGATAGGGGTGCATGAACACACGCACACAGACACAGCTAGAGCTCACACATGCGTACACACACTCACAAATGATGCAGACAGCGCAGTTCACAGTTAGACTGACTGGCAGACATTTAAGCTGCTGCAGAGGGCGGTGGTCGCCGTCGCAGTCGGCAACAACGTTGCCATTTTACTGCCTAGCAATACACACTCGCACACCCATATACACATACATACAGTGTGTGTACGCATGCAACATGCAGTAGATTCTCAGCTACTTAACCTACAAAGAATAAAAGTAATAATGCATAAGCGAGTGCCGGGATATGCTTCAATTAGTAGAATTAACGGTATACAAAGTTTGTCAAACAGACACACACAAGCACACGCACACGCACACGCACACGCACAGACACACTCAAACTAACACATACACACTGATAAATATACACAAGCATTAAAACCCAATTGAGTTTTACGTTTTTAACGCAATGCCCAAAACGTTTACGTCGTTCTTACTGCCGGTTTACGTCTTTGGTTACGTGAATTGTATTAGAGTTCGTTTACACGGGTGTGTCAGTGTGTGTGTGTGCGTTTGCGAGTACATGTCTTACTTTCAATGTCATCAAAAAGGGCTGAGAATGATATTTCTGTAATTGAATTGTATCACAGCCAGCTTTGATGGGCATTGCAAAGGGCGACGTAACAGAAATAGAAAAAAAAACCATAGGTGTGGAATCGCCGTACCGGTAAACAGGACTACAACAAACTCAACCAACAAGTGTTTGCATCTCATTATATGGGACACTTAACGGTCGCCGCCCACTCAATTCTTGCGTAACTCTTCAAGGGGTTGTGAAATGTAGCCATTATCAAGTCATATCACAGCCATTTTGATGAGTTTCGTGTGAATTACCTTAAGCACTATTTCACTCATCATAGACGATTATCCATTTGCATTTCTATTTTTCATTTTCTTATACCATGTCGTTAAAATGTCTGTGACCGTATGTATTTAATATCATATCACAGCCATTTTGACGAGTTTGGGTAAAGAAATCTCAACAGGGCACTCATAACGTATACGCCGTATATGCCGCCGTATTAAATGTTTTGTAGATCCCCTCCAATGAAGTCGGGCCTCCTCGCGACTGAACGGTAATAAATACACATGCTATTTAGATGTTTTGTTTTTGTGTTTTTTTTTGTGGTTTTTGTTTTTTTTTTACTTTTATTTTTATTTTAATTAATAGTTATTATTTTCTCTTTCTTTTCATTTTCATTTAAGGAAACTTTACAAAACAAAACAGGACCACAACAGATGCAAATATTGATCATACTGAATAGAATCGAACTGATTGATGGCCGCCGGCAAAGGATTTCAACGTTTTACTTTGAAGGACAACGGAGGCACTAAAAATCCAAAAACCTGATTCAGAAATTCGCACGCGTCCAAAATATTATTTAAATAATGCGAGAAGCAACAATAAATCAATTCAATAAATTCCAAATAAATATTTTCAGTATAAATCGCGTCTTTGCCTCTTTCTTTTTTTAGAATTGGGAGATTTAAGAATGTAGAAGGGAAAACAAAATTAAATTTCAACAAAATTAATCAGTTTCTTCAACAATGATTAAATAAAAAGATCGACTCTTCAATTCACATTCGTCGCTCTGCCTTTTCTTCTTTTTTTGGTTTTTTTAGTCAGCAAACCAAGCAAAAGATGTGTAGATTATTCAGTGTGGAATCCGATAAGATATTATATATATAAAAAAAAGTACTTATTCCACAATGAATGCTATGTGTGTACTGTATGTAAGATACCAATTACAGAGTTTTTAACATTTAGCTTGGACTTTTTGGAAACTTGGAATGGGGACTTTGGATCTTAATGCGTCTGCGTGTTACCGATTGCCCCTCTTTTGTTTAAATACGTGTACGTACGCCAAGGCTTACATATAGTTCCGATGTAAATTCAAAAGTTTTGCTTTAAGCAAATTTTACAAAAAATTCTTATTAATTTGTTATTCTGTTTTTAATTGGGCTTTACGTGTTTACCTTCAAATTTTTGATTTCAAAGTTTCATTTTCTGGTTTTTTCTTTTACAGCACAATTTTAATAATTTTGGATGTGTTGATTTACGGGGCATAGTACAGGCAGCTCGATACCAATAAGAGACATATGAGATTGGATTTACAGAAATCAGTAATGACAAATACTAAGCTTCTCTGAATGCAGCGGTATTCTTGCTGATTCTTCAATAATTATGTGCTTCTTTGTTTAGTTTTTTTCTTTTTTTTTTTTTTGGTCATCGAGCGCTGTAGACAAATTCACTAGTTTCCCTTTTTTGTTTGTTAAATATATTATATAATTTCCTAGTTGTTGTTTGTGTCTGTGTTATGTTGGTGTTTCGCTTGCGATGCATATAAGTATGATGATGGTTGCTGTTGGATGAAGCACCTGACAATGACAGTAAGAATGGCTTTGCGTGATGTATACAACTGATCGAAGCTCAATCTGTCCAGGCAATCCCAATGAATCATCAGTTTGGTTGCAATGATGGC